CAGGTTCGCAATGAGGTGGAAGTCCATCACGTAGCTGCCCACGTTGTGGTCCTCGGGGAGGGTGTACCTGGCACTCCGAAGAGTGGTGTCAAAAGGAGAAAGCGAAGTGTATCCGCTTACCAGAGTGATATAAAAGAGGATCGCACTGCTATAGGCAGGATGGATAGAATGAACGGGCTCCTAATGTATGATCTGCCCCGGGATTGCCCCGCATAATGTCGTTGCATAAGGCGCAACGCTACCAAAACGACGCACTCCCCAAAGCTCCTGATGGGATGGAGTGCGCAAAACAGATAAAGCGGTGTAACCGGGAACTTCGTTTTCTAGAAGTAAAGGAGAAGGCAATTGAACGTGTGTCCGCGACTTGCGCCCTTGGGCTGACTGGATGCCATGCCTTTAGCAGCAGCAGGCACGTCAGCCAACCACTGGCGGGCAGAAAATCAAACACCTTTTGAGGTAGCCTCTCCAAACGGTGGTCGAACTGTATGCGAATCCTTTCACCCGACTGTATCAGTAGCGCACACCAAAAATGGCGAACTTGTGCACACTTACTCTGCAACGGTTCGCGGCTCCGGGAACGACTGGAACCCAAACTCGCTGACGAAACGGTGACGCCAGCTCCGCTGCACCTCGAAGGGCTTGCCCCCGTGCCACACGTCCCAGCAGTGCGCGTCCCCCGACCGCGGGTCATTGGCGTCCTGTCGACCCTTGTCGCCGCCGAGGGGGGTGTGCGGGCTAGAGGGCCAATACGAGGTGCGGCCGTCGTGTTTCTGCGGAGGTTTTCTGTTGTTAAGGTATGCAAAAAACTCTTGCGGGCTTTGCTTGGCGAGACATTGGCGTTCTGACGAACCGCGTCGCCATGGAGGGGTGTGTGCGGGCTAGAGGGCCAATACGAGGTGCGGCCGTCGTGTTTCTGTGGAGTTAAGGTTCGCAGAAGGAACTTACGGGGCTATTGCTTGGCGAGATGTTGGCGTTCTGACGACCCTCGTAACGAAATCCTTTATAAGCTATCATGTGGCACAAGCTATGTGCAGATCCCTGAGAATCCGCATAAAATCCCCATGCCAGACGCGTCGCCCAAGGGGTCTGTGCGGGCTAGAGGACCAATACGAGGTGCGGCCGTCGTGTTTCTGCGGAGAATTTTGCAATCGAAAAGACAGGGGAAGAGTTTGTTGTAGAAAACAATTTGCCTGTTGAGGCGTTGGCGTTTTCATCGCCGCCCAAGGGGGTGTGCGGGCGAGAGGGCCGATTCGAGGTACGACCGCCGTATTTCTGCGGGGAATTTTGCAATCGATAAGACAAGAAAAGTCTTTGTTTTAGAAACAAAATCGCTTCGAGAGGCGTTGGCGTTGTCGTCGTCGCCCAGGGATCGTGCGGGTTAGAGGGCCAGTACGCGGTTCGGCCGCCGTGTTTCTGCGGAGATATTGTAGGTTTGAAAAGGTTCGTAGATGTTTGTGTGGGCTTTGCTTGGCGAGAACGTTGTCGTATTAAGGCTTCATCGTCACTTAGAAGGTGTGCGGGCTAGACGGCCAGTACGTGGCAACCGTCGTGTTTCTGCAGGCAGAAAACTGAGGGTAATTGGATACGAAGAGCGTTCAAACAGGTGTTCTTGTGAGCATGTTGACTTTCGATACGATGAATACGAAAAGCGTTCAAACAGTGTTCTTGTGAGCGTGTTGACTGTCGAGACGATGGCGTTACAGCGACCCGCGTCGTTCCGGAGAGGGGTGTGCAGGCTAGAGGGCCAGTGAGCAGTGCAGCCGTCGTGCTTCTGTAAGGCGTTCCCAAGGCTGGTTGAAAGCTAGTCGAAGCCTTGGCACACTTTTCATTTGCAGGGTGTAAGACCAGCTCTAAGCCTACGGAACCCTTTTCAAACGACCGGAGCGCCCGCATATCCCTTCAGCGTTCCTGCTTGGAGTCACTCCGTTTCTAGCCGCACCAACAAGGTACGCCCTACGATTCTGCGACTTCTGAGAAAGTCTTCTCGAACCCTTGATTCCTGCTTCCCCATCTCAGCCCTCGATTTCGTCTCACCTCAACCACGTCTTTCAGCAGCACGTCGAACAGATGCTTGTACTGATCCCAGGGCATCGTCGTAGCCGTCCACGTGTCACCCACATAGCCCTGCTCCAGCTCGTTGTTGCCGCACCACAGCGCCAGGCATGCGTGGTGGCGCAGCGCGCGCACTGCCTCGATCGCCTCCTCTTCGCAGTTGGCGAGCCATGCGCGGTCGTGAACCGGGTACGTGCTGCAGGGATGTAGGAAGATCTAGCAATTGAATTCGAACATCGTTCACTTTTACTGCTGCGGTCTCTCACTGTAGCCTACTCAATTCTTTTTTCTAGTGGTGCGCAGGTAGCCGAAGGGACTTTTTGCAGGCTGGAACGTTTCATGGCCCTTCCTCAAGGCCTACACAGCAAGATGACTATCTGTGTGGATCAACAATCATGGTGGTGAACGCTTTCTCAGACTCAACCAACCGAAAGCTCTGACGTTTGTAAGTCCTTCACAACGCGTTTGGATTCTCAATACAGAAGATAGAGAGTAAACGAGACACTCCGAAAGTCACCAGCCCAAACGAGGCTACATATTTCTGAACAGTTCGAAACTGGCGAAGCTGACGGGAAACCCACTCCATGTTCTCTGAATGACTAAGTGTGTTGTCGCTCTTACCGAAAGAAGACTTGCATCATGTCACGAGCAAGAGAGCATTCGCCAAGCAAGCCTACCTGCATGCGTAGACGAACTCCTGCCACACTAGAATCCCCAGCTCGTCACATGCGTCGTAGAACTCGGGGTGCTCGTACAAGCCGCCGCCCCAGGCGCGGATCATGTTCATGCCGACGTCAGCCGCAGACTGCAGATCAGCAGCGACAACATTTACAACTACGTCCAACGTCTTTTCAAAGGGTTCCGAGGCACCAAAGAGGCACCTTCTTTCCAGCTCGAAGGCACACCATTCCGCCCGTAGATTCGTCATCTGGAAAATGGGTTTAACATGGATCTAAAGCTAGCTTTCACGGGATGCAAACATGGAATTATTCTGCAACCCAGCCTCTCAAACACGTTCTGGTCGTGTCGCCTCACCTGTAAAAGGGCCCGGTATTTCTCTGGAGTCAGCCTTGGGAGGTAGATATCGGCGGGGATCCAGTTTGCTCCCTTGGCGAAGATCTTCACCCCATTTATCTCAAACCCGAACGACTCGCCCCACTCGTCCTTCTCCCGGACCAGCTTAAGCGTCCTTAACCCGACTCGCTTCTGGCAGCGACTAAGGATTTCGGACGTGGCCTTGCTGACCAGGGACACGGTAACCCGGTACAGGGTTTGACCTAGCCCGGTCCCATTCGGCCACCATAGCTCTGGCTTCTCAAGGTCAACTTCCAGCCGCCCGTTTGACTTTTTCACGTGTTTGGGGGTCATTTGTTCGAGCGCCTCTCCCTTATATGGACCAGATGCCGACGCCTCTTCGGAGGCCCCTTTGTTTCCTTCTCCAGCGAGGCTGCTGACATCATCAACTGCGCCGTAACTTTCTGTGCTTTGCTGGCTAGTATTTGCCCTGAGAGACTTAGGCAAAACGGCGTCCAGCTCGAACTCGTCAGCCAGAACTTTCACACCGCTGCCGTCCCGCATCAGGCGCTCTATCTGCACAGCCAGCTTGGTGTCATCCAGGGCCTTTTCACACAGGCTTCCGAGCTCCACCTCTATGCAGATGGGAACGGACGCCGGGGGGCTGTAAGTTGTCGTCCCTGTGTCAGGGTCCATTCGCACCGCTACCTCCGTGATCTCGGGGTGAGTGATGTGAATGCTCTCCAGCCAGGCCGTCTTGAAGCCGTGGAGTTTGATGGGGCGCCAGATGCCAAAGGTTGGTGCGGCACAGCCCCAATCCCAGCCGTAACTGCGAACACCAAACTTCTTGAAGACTTCATCGGACAGCAGGGACATGTAGACGGGAGTTGCTGGCTGGCCCAACGTGCTGTTTCAGATTGTACACCTAGCCAGCGAAATTCACATGCTCGCGCAAAGTCTTGCTGTTTTATCTACTTGCTAAGCAGCAGCATCTTTTGGGAATGCAAGTACAAGAGGCACAAAGAGCCTGGCTGTCGACCTTGACAAGACTTTGCTCCACAGATTTACATTGCCTCTCTGCCAGTCAAGTCTGAGAAGGTCAATGACGCAATGGACCGCACTTGTCACCAGAAGGGACCACAGAAAAACAACAGATGCTCAGAGTCCTGCGACTATTCTCAAGGTCACAAATCCATGTCATGTGAAACCAATCAAAGCGCCTCAGCTGTGTATACACACATGCATACAAGAGCTTGCCAAGAGAGCACGCACTATCATTGCACATGGATGTAGCTGAATCTGGCAGTAACAACTACACTAAGGTTCGAGTCTACTGACCTTGCAGGTTCTTTCCTGATCCAGCCTGCACCCCTATACTCCTCTCTGTTCGCGTTGCTGGCAATCAGCGCCTTTTCCTTCTGCTTCTCAGCCATGAATGGAACTGTTGATCTGAAGGTCACTTGAATGCGATTGTTCTTGGAAGAGCCACCTTCTTCAGGATTTAGCAAGTGCTTGACATCAGCTGTCCAAGTTCGGAACATGTTGTCGGCAGAGATCACTGGACGGCCGTTGACTAGGACGGTGGCCAGGGTGTCCAGACCTTTGCAACTCAGGATCACCTGCAATTGCAAAATGGTAGAGAAAAGACTTTTAGACAAGACTGCCGCTGATGTTGGAAGCACTTCTGTGTTCATTTTGAGCTGCGGTTGAGAGAGTGAGAAAAGCGGCTGAACGGGTAAAGGCTGAAAAGGTGGCTCTCATTCAACCCTCAGCTTCAGCTGGAAAATCATGATACGCTCAACCAATGCTTTCTGAGGCTTGAGTGGACCCAATAGCAATCATAATCTCAACCATCTTATATTGGGCTGACTGAGCCCTTGGTTGGCAAAATTGTGAACAGCCAGACACCAAAGTGAGGGGAGGAAGGGGGAGTGCACAAGGTGGGTGTGCAAACTTCCAAGCAGCCATTGTGAAGAAGGACACTGCAGCTAATCCTTGTCAAACAGAAACTTCAGCTTGCGCTTTCTTTCCAACGTCCTTTCCAGATTATGCAACAGAATGGAAGATTTCTCGTCTTCTCTCTGTAGGCCTTGTACCTGCCTCCTTGCATGTCTTTATGTGTTGCAATAGGTGAAGGAAATCACTTTCTCAACAACTTGTTGGCTGATGACCAATTGCGCCTAAAGTGTTACTCTATGTAAGACTGGTGCACGTACTTCAATTATTGGCACCAGAGGTCAGTTCACCAATCACCAATTTTACAGCTTCTGGACAAAAAAATTCATCAATCTGTTAATACTCATCAGGAACAGCCAACATCAAGCAGCCATGGAAAAAGGGCACCATGCAACACAAGGAATGTCCTTTGTTGTTCCCGTTTCCTTGGACTTCAGTAAATTAATCAAATTCTTTTTCATCTGCAAGATTCTCAGGCCTAATGTAGTGTCCAGTGCCTCCTGAGTCTTGGCGCTTGGCACCACCACAAACAAAAGTGGTCACGTATCACAGCCTAACAGACACCCACATTTTGACAATCTGTTTCACAATTCACCTTGTCGCACGCCAGTAAGCCCGCGTCCACGTCAAACTCTCGCCTGTACTCCCAGTCACACTCAGCCACCCAATACAGCGTCGTCTCATTGTCTCTCCACTTGACATCCTTAATCAGTCCTGCGTTCTGCAAGTCCAGATGCACGCACCCTGGAACCACTGCAGGTATGCTACTTGGCAGCTGGACATTGAAGGAGGCGACGGGGCTGGTGCAATGGAACGTCCAGGCAGTGCCGCCAAGGTCCATCTCCAATGCAGTGGCCATTGGGCATCTGAGCTGTGCGGGGTTTTCAGCCGCTGGACTTGCTGAATGCAAGCGGAGACACCAGCATTTGAAAGGTCTTTCAGGATATTGTACTGCTCTGAGTCTACCTGGAACCACCTGCACTGCGTTGCAAAGGTGCGCCAGGAAATACCTAGAAGCAGCATAGCAAGCCAATTGACAGATTGAAGCAGAGCTGCGCATATTTACCGCGTTCTATGCTTGACCGACGCGCGCACACTTGCAGCGACGGCCGCCATTCTACGCCACGGCCGCGCGACGCTTTTGAGGTTTGTGACGTCACGTTAAAGCATCACATAACGACACTTGGCAGAGCTCCACGATGTCACGGTCCGAACCCCCAAAACCCTCTCTTTGAGAATCTAGTCACTGCCGAAGCGGCGCGCTTGTCGCGCAGGCTTAAAGTTTGCAAAGAATTTTCACGCATCTGCAAGAATGATGTCCTGCTATCCCGCAATCTACAAACTACAAAGATTTTGGTCATCACCATGTTTGACAGTACGACAGCCTCTTGTCAACGATACGAAGAGCCGTCTTCTGCACACAATATGGGCGCGCGCTGAATATCATCAATGATTCAAGTATTCCTTTTATTTGATTGAACCGTGGACTCAGGGAGCTTCTTGAGAGCTAGAAAATTCGCATGGCTTCTTCAGCTGGGATGGCCGCCCCTTCGTCGAGCCTGAGTGCAGGCCAAGAAACGACGCCATCTGGCAATGAAACTCGAGAGGAGTTGTTTAGATCTGAGAAGCAAAAGGTGCGGTTTCTGCACCTGAAGACGAGGGTTTTGATCTGCAGATATGGAGCCGCTTGTCCTGTTGAAGTTCTATTTTCATATGTGCACACTCGCTTGCTGAACTCATTTTGGTCTATTGCCTAGCCTCTTTTGAATCTTGACTGAATGACTTTCAAAAGATGCAGGGCTGTATTTGTGTGCTCATGTTCTCACCGTCTTCCCTTCAAGATGGCAGTATCCTTTTTCGAAAGCGATGTCCGTTACAATACATACAGTCTTTCAAAGCATACATTGATTCTTGCCGGCTGCGTTGCCAGGGTGTTGCTGAGGCCAGGGTTGCCTTTTATCAGCATGTGGTACATGTGGACTATTGTCATGAAGCGTATGTGGAAATGTTGTAAAAGGCTGGTAGGATTCAGTAGTTCGTCCTGTGACTGAAACCCTGTTCTCCGCAGCACATACCATACCCTAAAATGGAATTGTATCAGATTATGTTGCTTGGATTGCTTAGTGGTATGGGCAGCCTGTCTGCAGTCGGGTCTGGCGTAAGGCCTAGAAGAAGGGGCTGACTCATCGGGCGAGATGATGCACCATCTTTGCAGTGGAAGGTTCTTCTTGGTGACCTCTCCGGTCGTGGACACAAGTATCGACCAAGTTGGATTTTGTACCTCTACTTCCATCTTTTGCTGCCTTCTGGAGTTGATGTGTAGCTGAAGCTCTCAAGCACACCAAATGGTTTTCTGTTGCAGGCCAGCATCTTCTTGTCGGATAAGAGGTCCGAGTACTTAAGACAGTTGAAGGCACTGGTTGCGGATCCCGGGAATCGTGACTCGTACGAGAAGATTACGGTCGGTCACTTGTACTGATAAACGCATAAGGCAGTTATGCAGAAGCTGCTGCTTGAGGAACGTGCAGTGTTTTGTGAGGGCCCTTCCAAAGTTCTGGATCTCAGGGGTGAGCTTTCCATCTGATTTTGTCATAAGTCATGTTGAAAAAAGCTTGTCTGTCCACTGTTTCAATGCTGCGACACTTGCTTTTATGAAAACTTTCCTGGAGAATAATACTTGATCCTTTTTGTTTATGTGCAGCACTTCTACAGGCTGATTGAGGAGCTGGCATGGGTGGACCAGGATCAGGCATTTGACATTTATATGAAGTGGTGTCTGCAGAATCCAAATATCCGTCAGCAGAAGCTTGTGAGTTTCTCAGGATTAAACTTGACGCTTCTGTGCACCCACTGGTATACCTCGTATCACCCCTCGGGTAGCATCAAATGCTGAAGACTGCTTCCTTGCCTAAGACTGTGCCTTGTCTGGTGCCACTGGCTCTGAAGCTTGGACGCTGTTTCTGTAGCACTTTACGCATTCCCCTTCTTCTTACTTCGTCTTGGCTGGGTTTCCACTGCTATGTAACGCTTCCTGTTCAGCCGCCTGTGGAGAAGCTCAAGCACAACTTCGGCGAGGTGGTGGAACGTGTGCGGAAAAGGAACCAACCGCTTGAGTGGCCTGAGCGAATGGTGAGTTGATGCCTAGAGGAGCCCTACAAATTTCAGGCGGCTTCTTATGCACGGGCAGATTGTTTGCATCCTCGGTAGATAAGCAGACCTTTGGACTTTGATAAACTGTTTACGGTTGGGCTTATGTAACTTGAACTTCCCTTGACACAGGAATGAAAGCAAGCTGCCAAGGTCTCCTGGAGCAACTATCTTAAATGCATCTATTTGCGGAATGCTTGCAGGTTGGCCTCACACCTAAGGCAGTAATTTTTCCCGATTGCTGCTAGATGTCTGTCTTCATCACATATCATTTTAAGCTATGGGGACCGGGGACGTTAGATTGCAGCCTACTAGCCGAGAATCTCCGTTTGTGTTGCAGTTGGACGTTATAGTCTGGCTATCAGGGGTTCCAAGGAGGAGCCAATACGAGTTTCCTTGTGGAAGTCAGGACTTGTCTTGCCTTGCTCATTCGGTTCAAATGAGTCTGCACGTTTGGGTTTCGTCACCTCTTACTTGATGAGGGTCCCTCCAAATGATTGAGCAAGCAACCATTCCTTTGATGTATGTGGCTGAATAGCTGATGTTTAGAGTTGAGTGTTTCCCGGATACTTGAAAACGGTGGCAACCAGTCTTTGCAGATTCAGGGCTTCGTGTATTGACCATAATATGTATGAGTTAAAAGTTGCAACTTAGCTATGTATCCCGTCATATACGCAGCGTGGTACAATGATTTACCTCGCGGCAGCCCAGTTCTTGTCTTCTACTACAATCCAACAGTTGAAGCAATTTATGACTTGCAAAAACCATCGTAGTCGGAATTTGACAAGGTTAAGCAAATTGTTTCAAGCCCATATGGCATTCTCGGGCCAGCCAAGTGACTCAAAAAATACGCCAGGTGCGCTTACTAGTGACAAAGAGACACATCCTCAAGTAGTAACTCAGAAGACCTTCTTCTCTTAGCTTGGATACTTTTTCATCCATCGTGGTTGGTCATCTTTGAAGCTGTTTGACACATCCGAGCCGTGATTCGTCGAAGTTTGTACGTTTCTCTAAAGTCACTGGCGTGCTGCATACAGTTTGAAGGTCACTATCGATCCCAGGGCATGTTTACTGACAGTTCGCACTAAATCAAACTCTTTCTAGCCAGCTTTGTCCGACTCTTTGCCCACATCATGTGCTTCACGAATGACAGGGCTTTCAAAGTACATCAGTCTGCGCCGTTAAAGTTGCCATTATGTTCCGAGCATGTTCCTGATCTTGCGTAGTGATCTACCGCCTTCCTTGTCGACGATCTGACCATCGGATGGTTTAAGATTAAAAGCATGCTCGGTGCATTCGAAACCCGATGGCAAGTTTGCCAGTGAGCAAAGAGCTGGAGCTGTACCACCCAAGCAGCATCTCAGAAGCTTTTGTTCGAAACACGGTACATAATAGCGAGGCGTACCGAACACTGAAGAGGAGAGGATGACTTTTTGCAGCCATCTCGCCGTCTGTGATCGTACCGTTGGCTTCGTTGTTCGCCGGCGACCTGACTCCGCTCTTCCCCCCTGTTACTCCTAACGCAGCGAGTTCAAAGCTCCGTGACGTACCGTCAAGGTGACGTTATCATGGCAATCGGTACTTGAGTTTTTGGAGCAGCCTTCCCAGCTGTCGGCGTAGCAACTTCCCCTCGTGATTTAGCCTGCTGGTCGTCGAACACAACCGCGACTCATGTGGTCGGCGGGTTCAAAACTGGCCGCCGACACCCTCTGAGGAATTTGAAGCACTTTTTGGATTTCTGAGCTTAGGCTAGTTTTTCTGCGCTACTGTAGTTAGAGCACCTGAGGGCAGAGTTTTTCAGCTCAGACTTTGAAAGCTGAGATTAGCACATGTATATTGAAAGGCTGGTTTTAAGATCGTTCGTTACGGTGGTACTTCAAAGATCGTTACAGATTTTTCCTTTCGTTTTCCCTTGGTGCTAAACCCAACGGTCTCTGGCCGCCAAGTCGGCGAGGCACCAATACCATAAACCGAGGCCCCAATCCAGACATTGTTCTAGCACGTAGATGTTTGGAAACATGCAGGACGTTCAACTGATATCTTCAAAGATTTCAAGTTCGTCCGAGCGGGTCATCATCTTGAACCCGTACAGGGGACTGGAACCCGGAAGTTCTAGCAACGAGAACACTTGGAAAAAGCGGTCGTTGCAGCAATTTAGTGACTTTAATTTGACGACAAAATTCTAAACAGAAATAGAGTCAAAATCGTGGGATTTGAACAGGAGCAATCGACCAGTTGGGACGGCGGGATGGCAGGAACGGATCGGTTTTCAAAGAGCTAGCGAGTGACGGCAAAATGGTAATAACTAAGAACGTCCGTAAGATTACCGACACCTGAGTTTCTCTTCAATTAACAGAAGATACCAAGTGCACGGGAAAGAAGCGACTAAGACCCGCTCCAACGCCGTTCCAATACGAGCGCACGTCTCAACTCAAAAAAAACGTCCAGTTTAGCGTTCCAACCGGCTGTTTTCAAGTTGCACCCGAGCGTAGCACGAAAGGCCCCGCAAGCAATCGCCATCTATCGTAGATTAACAGGACCAGGGGAGCGATCACGGCGTCTCTTTCTATGGCTAATGGTGGTCGGACATCAGCGGACAACGTTGTAGTTGACTGCGCATCACGACATTGATTATGCTCGCTAGAACCCTGAGCAAGCTTTTGCGATTCAGGCGCGAATTGATTCAACTTCGAAGACAGACGCGTCGATTATAATCGTTCCTTCTCAGAAGCCGGCGAATTCTACGGGACGGTATTGCAGATCTTAGTCACCAAAAGCTAGCGCCAACCAGTTTGCGAACCTGACCTACGCCTCTTGAACTCCCACCTAGTGATACCCTCTCTGCAACACGTCGCTTCACTTCTACCGGAAGACGGCGTCCCTCTTGCTACAGATTTTCGTATTGCAGCTTTTATCCAATCGTCCCTTGATCCCTTCCTACCGGACAGACTCGACATGCGTCTAATGTGACTAGGCTCGATCATCTCTCTTTCTACCGGGCACTCGTTCAGTGCGTCCACGCTACCAACAACGACCCAGCCGTCGCAACCAGAATCGTGACCACGAAGTTCACCGTCACCTGTGACGACAGCAAAAGGAATCAATCTCAGTTTGTTCACAAGACAAAACGACCGTATCTTGCGTTCTGAGATCACTGACGTTATCGAAAACTTGACGGACGGCTCATTTTGTAGGAAGCCCCAAGTTTCGGCTGCCGTTTCGGATGCAAAGTATGCCAGCCTGCAGCAAACACTCGAAACTGATATCCTCTAAAATCAAAAACATAACACGCAGCGAGAGGATACGGGTACCTCCGACAAAAAAGCAAACGGGATTCCACACAAAACCCATCTTCCCAACAGATTGCCCACTTACCTGCTCCAGCAAGCTCGCGTCCGCCGTGTACTTCTCCCGGGGCACGTCCACCGCCTCGTTCGGGCCAAGCGGCAGACTCACGCAGCCGCCCCAGCCGCAGCCCGGGGCGCGTCCCCCGGGCGGTTGCGCCAGGTGCGCGGATCGCGCGGCCGCGATGAAGCAGAAGAACAGGTGGCAGGCTGCCAGCACCACCGCTGACGTCATGACGGCCATGTCCCGGGCGGCGGCCCAGCTGAACGGGGCCATAGAGAGGGACTGCCCGGGGGGGGGCCTTGCTGACGTCTGAAAGAACGTTTGAACACAGGACCCCTCGGCTCAGCTCAGCAGATAGAGAAGGAGGAGAGCAGGGAAGAAAGGGAGCGCTGGCGTCACCGGATGAGGTCAGGAGGGCTTGCGTAAGATTCCCCTTGGAGGATGACGCTTTTGCATGGGGGCCACGTCACACGGAAAAAAAGGTAAGAAAGAAGCGTTCACGAGAGCCGTTGTTGTGTGGAAGTGGTCCTACATGAGGGAGTCCAGTTAAAAGTTCAAACCCAGAGCAGACGGGTTTCAGGCTCTAATGGAGCACGCAATTCGTGGGACCAAAGAAGGGCTCTGAAGACGTCCCTGTTTCTATGAGAAACAAACAACAGTTTGAAATGAAGCAGCGCTCTAACAGTCCTATGGGGCTTTCTCGTGGTTTGAATACCGACTTCGTCACAGGTCAACCATAAGAACAAGTGAAACTTCTCTTCATGCTCAAGCTTTTCCTGTTTCGATCCATCTTCACAACTCCTACCAAGCCGCAAACACCCGTGACAAGGAAACGAGTTTCTGGGTGCTGCTTTGACCACCCGCTCATCTCAAAGGCTTTTCCAGAGTAGGAAGAAAGGGACGCGAAAGGGTATACTGCGACTTGCAGTCCGACTTCGTTGAGCCTTATGTCTGCACTTGAGGGCACCTGATATGTGGTACTGGCATAGACCACTGTCGACGAGTTCTAGGTTGTCGACATACTAGGGGCTGCTAGGAAGCGCAGGCATAGACAATACCTTGAAGCATAGGTAGTTGTTTTTTCTGTAGTTTTTGTTTTTTTCTGTGATGCAGCAGGTATGTTGCCTGTGGTGCCGGGCATACACGAGTTTCAGAGGAACTTGTATCTTCCGCGCATACAAAATGTCTAACATTGCGCACGGTCGAATGCAATTAGCGTTGGACATAGCTCTTATCAATGAGAAGGGCTGATCACTCGGCGCACTCAGTGCCAATGTAATTGTTTGAAGGCCTTGAAACCTGCATCTTAGCAGGTAATCGGCAAGCTTCCTAGCTTGCGTGGATTGAGGATGACTCCTCGATCGTTTCCCTCCTACGAGGGAAACGAACCATTCGCAGATCTTAGAAGGAAGCGTTTGAGGGCGCACCCTCGCTCCCAAGGTCGGAATCTAGGAAGACTCGCCGATACATGCATTGCCGTGAGATCCGAGGCCATACTTTGCAAGACATCTCACGCGCGTTGACCTAGCATTCCTCCTAAGAACAAGTGCAATCGTCGATTCGATTCCGCAAGATTTCAAATGATAGCATGTGGACTTGAGGCTCATTGGATGATCGCGATGCAATGATTGATCGAATTACGATTGGGGCTGCATTCAATGCAAATGTCTCTCGCCCATGCATGGCTCGCCACTCTGGATTCGGCAATGGTTCTCATCGAACTTCGATAGTCGTACGATCAAATCGGAACCGGTAAGCTTTCACTAGCACTCTGCAATCAACTCCACGTTCATAAGATCAAGCTCAAATCTCACCTATACCTAGCATCTTTCAATGTGACTTGTCTTCTTATCTAGGCACGCTTTTTACCCTCGGGTAGAATGCTTACTTCCGAGCACGCTTGTTCAAGTCCAATTAAACAGCCGAGAATCATCAAAATCGACTACGTGACTTTTGCTTGGAGCAGCTTTGCTTCCAGCGCGCGCAAAGCTTTTGTGCGGCTTCTCAACTCTAGGCACTCGTGGTGAGCAATACTTTTACGTGCTCGCCGCAACGGCTCTAAACAACTAAATCTGTGGGCTCTGTTGATTTCACTACGGCAGACTTGAAAATCCTGTACACACGGTCTATTCTAACAAATGCGGTCAACACCGTCAGTAGAGTGGACGTAGAACGCCAACGCGCAGTTCGAAGCTTGACGTGTAGCCCCCGTTACTAGTACCGGGCACGACGTTCACTTGATCTCCTCACTCTGCAGAAGTAGAGGTCGCACTTAGTCAGACGTTTACTGTCGTACGCACATTCACCCGTACGAAAGCCTCCGTGTCTCCGGACGAGAACGAACATGATCTGCACTGCCTGTACGGCTGCATGCCTTTTCGAAGATCTGACGCTGAGCTCAACTTCTGCGACCGATCGACTACAAAGCCGATTGTTTAGCAGCAGGAGGAAGGGGGAGCTTTACAAGAGCCATCCGTTCTGTGTAAGACTGTACGATGTAGGAGCGGCGTCGCCTCAGAGAATTCGACAAAGACTTTCTTCATTTAGCGGCCATGGAGAAGACAGACAGAGAAAGAAACGACTGACGGCTGAGCAGAGCCGCTCTTTTAGATCTCGGAAGGAGTCAGACCGTAGAAGGAACCAAGCAGCTCTCTCTGCGCGCTCTCATTCCAAAACGGCCTTTTGGATTTCTTACCCCGCCCCCCTGGATCGGCCACTTCTTCAGCACGGGGCTCTGCGCCGGGTCCCACGCTGATCCCCCAGCCGCGCTCGTGGCGTCAGAATATGACCGCGGGCTCTTTGCGTCCGAATGTGTGCGTGGGCTCTTTGCGTCCGAACCCGTTCGCGGGGTCTGAGCGCTCAGAAGCGTCCGCAAGCCGTGCGCGTCTGACTCCGCCCAAGGAGCGTGTACGACCGAGAACTTGCCCGGTGTTCGCGCGTCCGCAACTCCCGGCCGCGGGCTCTGCGCGTCCGAAACCGCCCGGGGATGTGGGGCGTCCGGCACTGCCCGGGGACTTGGGGCGTCCGAAATGGCCCGGGGGTTCTGAGCGTCCAAACCAACCCAGGGATTCTGAGCCTCCGAACCCGGCCGCGGACTCTTCGCCACCCAAACCCCCTGCGGGGTTTGCGCGACCGACCCGGCCCGGGGGCTCTGCAACGGACTCTCAAACGGTCGCCGCGCCCGGCGTCCGGAAATCGGACCCCCGGCCACCCCCCCGCCGTCCGGGATCTCCAGCGACAGGCCCTTCGGCGGGCCGCGGTCCGCGCCGCTTCCCTTGCGCCCCTTCCTGTTCGCTTTCTTCGGCGGCGCGCGTGCCCGTTCCGTCAGCGTTTCCGTCACTGTGCGCTCCGCCGCGCGGATCTCGTTCGCCTGCGCTTCCGACCGCTCCAGCCACGCCGACATCTTGCCGCGCATCTCGATCAGCTCGCGCTTCGTCTCGACCAGGGAGTCCTCCGCGGCCGCGGCGCGCTCCTCCGCGCGCTCGCGCGCGCGGGCGGCCGCGTGCGCGCGCGCGTCGGCCTCCTCGACGGCGCGCTCCAGCATCGCCTTCTCGGCCTTGAAGCTCTCGATCAGAGTAAACGCCGCCGCGACTTTCGTCTCGATCTCCTCCTCGGTGTCTCGCTCTAGTTGGCCCATCTGGGCGTTCGCCGCTTGGAGCCGCCCCTCTAGTTGGCCCAATTGGGCAATCGTCTCCTGGAGCCATCTCTCTTTCTCCTCCAACTGACTCTGAAGGTCCTTTTCCTTCTCCTCGAACTGACTGTCAAGGGCCCTCTCTTTCTCTTTAAACTGAGCTCGGAGGCCTGTCTCCTTCGTAGCGAATTCCGTTCGGAGATCATTCTCCTTCTCTTCGAACTGTATCCGGAGGCCCCTTTCTTTCTCTTCCGATTCTTTTTCTTTCTCTTTCAGCTGATCTACAAGCCGCCTCTCTTTTTCCTCCAACTCAGCCGCAGCAGTGGTCAGCTGTCGGTCTCTTTCCTCGCCGCTCGCGGCCAACCGTTTCTCACGCGCCTCTAATTCTGCCTCCAGTTCCGTCAGCTTTGCACCCTCCTCCTCCGTTTCAGCTTCTTTCAGCTTTCTTTCCAACTCCTCTACTCTGTTCTCTCGTTCTTGGACCGCGCTTTCCGACTGTGACAACCTCCTTTCCGCCTCTTCCCTACGGAACGTCTCCTCTGCTAGCTGCCTCCTAATCTGCTCAACGAAAGTCTCCCCCTCTTTTCTGAACAAGTCGAGATGAGCCGGCAACCCTTCCACAGCAGCCTCCGTCTCGTGTTTCTGTTCCGGTTCCCTCAGGTTCACCGACGCCGGAATCTTGCCCTCCGGATTGATAAGTACACCCTTCCGTCTCAGCTGTTTCCTCTTCCCGCCGTTCACTCCCTTTGCCCTCGGACTAAGTTCTCCTCCCTTCTGCGTCGGCGGGACGCTCTGAGCTGCCAGGTCACTTGAGGCGACTTGCCTTGAGTCTACAGACTGCTCTGGAGGTATTGTGGCCCCGTGCTGGTCGCCCGCCCTCTTGTCTACAGTGCTGGTCGGCTCTCCAATTGGGTCTTCAGTGACTGAAGCGCTTCCAGAGGCCTCTTCTGCGATGCCAAAAGAAACAAAAGTCTGAGACTCTGAAGCACACATCCGGTTATCTTGCTCTTTCAAAGCACCAGTTCTTTGCAAACTGATCAAAACCTCTTCTCTTACCTGGACAAACGGCCTTTGTGCCAGCAAAGCAGCCACTACACACCCTGCTAGCAAGTACTCTACCTGTCGAAACATGAACGAGCATTAGTTGGGTCTCGCCAAGTCCTAGTTTCCCGTAGTCCTAGTCCCCTTTTACAAGTTGACAGACTTTGCAACAAGTTCTCAGATGCAAGGAACCGTTCTGGGCTGATCAAATAGATTAGCATTTCTCTTTTTTCTCACCACTGTTTGCAGCCGCTTGCAACTCTCGTTGCTCGTCCAGCTGAGCGCCCTCCCGCATCCCTCCCGACAAGGACAGTCGGTACTGCTTCTGCACCGTCCGCAACTCCTGTAGAACGGTCGCCCTCTCTTCCTCAGCCGCTGCGAGCGTCGTCTTTGCCCAGCTGGCAGACCGCCGACCAAACCCATCTCTCGCTAACCCTTCCCCTAACCCTCCTCCTAAACCCTCGCCCGAACCCGCTCCTTCCGCGGATGTCTCTTCTTCGTTTCTCTTTGCCTCTTGCCCGCCAAAGTCTCTCACTTCTTCCACTAGCCCCGCCCAAGGATCGTCATTTCTGTCCTGCACAATTCCATCCCCAAAACCCCCCGTACTTTCGCCCGTGCTTTGCCCCCCCCTCTCTTCTTCCCCAACACGTTCCCCGATGTCAACGTCAAAGCGCTCCCCCCTGGAAGCGACCCCCCACGCGAGGCGCTCCAACTCCCGCTCCGCCTCCTCTCTCCGCCCCACTTCCTCCCGCAACTCCTCCGCCGCTCGCCTCAGCTGCTTCTCTAGCCGTTTCCTGGCGGCCCATCCGGTTCCAAACGGATTCCAAAGCTGCGCCAACTCAACTCGGCTCGCGGCGAACAGTTCCGCGACCAGCCCATGCGGCTCCCCACCTCTGGGGGGGTGGGTTTTACCCTCGAAAGCGGGGGGGCGGTCCGACTCCGCGAAGGACGCGCGCGAACGTGAGGAGCGCTCGACCCTGCCGCACTGCATTTGTCTCTGAACCCTTTCAGATCTACTCGTCATGGGGGCCACGTTCACACTTCCGGGGAGATCAGTCACACTCCCAAGCCTTGCCGCCTGCTGAGTCTGTGCCAACCGCGCCCCTCCTGCTGCAGTGCTCTGCACCGATGCTTTTGTCGGGGGGGTTGCTATGCTATGCGCAACATGCTCTGTGCTTGCCCCTGCTGAGGTTGTGCTTGACACATGAGCCGAACTCATAACACTAGAAGTCTCTTTCCCGGGCGTGCTAGCAAGGTTTCCATCCAAAGCCTCGGCCCGTGGAGTCCTGTCCCCTCCCGGGGTTGGGGGCCCTTCGGGAGTCGCGCCGCCTGGCGTTTGGGACCGAGTCTCGCGCCGGGGGCGGAGGAAGAAGATCGTTTGAACCCCCGACATGCTGGCATAGAAAGGAAGACCCTAGAGCAGTTTCATATTCAGGCCTACCTTTTTCTCTGTGGTTGGTCTTCTGCAGCTGAAGCAAAGGGGCTCGTCTTCCAGCATTCTGTTGTACGTCTTAAGATCAGCGGCCAGAAAGTCCTGCGATCACGCACAATCAACAATGCTGCTCAAAACCTGCCGATTCAACGAACGCCCTGGAGCCACCATTACGGGAGCCATCTCAGATCGTTTACACTGTCTTGGACTCAGCATGCACCCAGCCTCTGCCTCCGCGCTTTTTTGTTGGATCCACATGCTTCTTGCATGAGCAAGTTATTCTCAGCGGGCATACAGGTTCCTTCTACGGAAGACTCAATGCAGCGGAACTTGTAGACCAATGATAGACAGCAGGCTAGATCCTCTTGGACACCGAGACAATCTGCAGTGAGCAAATTGAGAGGTTAGAAAGTACTGATTATGGCATTGGTACCTAGTACCGATTATGCCACAGGAGGAACTAGAACACAAGCACCGTATAGGTACGCGGTCGACGCACGTACCTACTGCCAGTACTGGTCAACGATAGCCGAACCCTATTTTTTGAGTCGACTGTCGACCTGGCCGTCAAAATTTAGCACAGGCTTCTTTCAACCGCCGATAAAATCGCTCGCGTAGACTCGACTTCCGGTCACCGCGCGGGGTGCCCCACTGCGCCTCGATCAGTGGAGTTGCGCACGGCCAGGAGCCGTCCAGGAGTCGGCCTGCGCATGCAGCTTGCAATCACCAATCACCACCTTACTGAATGGTAGAGACCCCGGGTAGGCAACTCAAGTTTTAAACACAGGGGGTAAGTTTTAAAACATGGCCTCTGGTTTTGTTTTAAACCTTAAGAAAATGTTTAAAACTTGGTTAAACCTGTTTTAAACCGGTTTTAACGTGTTTAAAACGTGTTTAAAACATATTTATGTTTTATTTTATTTAT